CCCCCCCCTCCCCTCGGTTAATTCAATTAACTGGCTATTTTGATAGTAGATATTTCTTCTACAATTATTCCCATTATCGCACGCAAATTATCAACGATACTCTGAATGCCAAATTATTCCTATTTTGTAAAATTGATCAACTTGGGGCATACACTTTCAATACTCATGAATGAATTTGAATTGGTTTGTAAAATTCAGAAAATCAAATATCAACAAAACATACACCTTCCCTTTTAAATGCCAACATATAGGACAATTCCAACGCTATCCTAAGACAATGGGGCCCTAGTTCCAACTTGAATGATGTAGAAAAGATAATCCTTTCTTTCACTTTTTTCCTTCTCCCGGTAAATGCCATATTAAAAATTATAACCCACTGTTCAAATTGTGCCTTCGATGCAACCTTTAAAACAATTGGACGGAAAACTTGAGACTCACTTTGCCCTACTTTTTAGATCAATAATGTGGGTGTTTTGATCTAATAGCCAAATGGGCTTCTAAAAGGGGGGTTTGGATCTCTTTTAACGGGCATGCATGCACGCCACGTCTGGCGGATTAAACAAACAACCAATTAAACACTGAGAAATGGGCCAATAAATCAGACATATGTTACAAAATGGTCATTCTTAGACAAAAGGAGTCTTTATAGGTCTAAGGAATCAACAAGGACTTTCTACCTAAAATAATACACGATAATTATAATGCACAATCGAAATGAATAGTTTTTCCTTCGGTAATAAATTTTAGTCATGTCATAGCTGTTTAGAGGATCTATTAATACTCATGAGATTTAACCCAACACCAAATTATGCGTCGATAATTCGAGTCAAGAGGCATAAATAGAGTACATATTGATTCATATAGACGTTTAAATTTTCTGTAAAAATGTACCCTGTGAAATTCGAACAATCACAGACTGTGATGGACCATTACAAGAGTACGGTACCCAGGTTGACACAAGAACCCCCCCCCCCCAGGACCTGTCAGGCAAACTCTATGCCACGGGTAATATGATGAGCATAGAGGGGTTAAAGAAAAACTATAGACATATGCATACGTACATATCGATTTTCGAAAGAAATCTCAGGATACACACTCTTCTCATGGTCAAATTTATAAGTAAATTAATAAAAATGAAAGAGTTACTTCTGAATGCTCTTCGCTTTGCTTTCAAGAGCGGCCGTTAATCCATGACAGCAACACCCCGAGAGGCTATCAGGCAAACAAATAAAATAAATCGATGTTGATGACGAAGTATGCTATTGACTAGGCAAACTAAGGTACTTATGGGTTAAAATAGCCGATCTGCCAACCTACTAAAAATGGATAGACACGTAACTGCAACATTCATTTCAAACCAACACGCCCTAGTTACAGTGTCACATCAGTTAATGAAGATGCTAGAATCAAGATAGTATAGTGTTAATAAGCTAAAAAATGTGACCACTAGTAACTTACGATGGTTCGTAGACCGCCAAAATTTGAGGAATCTGCAATTCTTGTACAAAGAATGCCTCAGCCAATCGTTTCATCTATAAGATAGAGTAGGGATTAATGAATGTTTAACCAGAGCATTGGTGGTAAAAAAGGCGGTAGCCAAGACAACCCACCCGAATTTGATGGGACTTCCGTTTGATATGACGAACCACTTTTGGGTAGGCGTGGATGAATTCACAAATTTGACGAAATATAAGAATATTTTCACCGGCTAACTCAGCAACATCCCTGGCAATCTGTTTGGCCATCTCTGTCTCCGTTTTTAGTTGCTGGAGCGTGAAGCGGAAACATAAAATAACCTTGGAAAATATGTCTTAGTGCAGCTGGTCAGGGAGGGGGAGGGAGGTGGGGTGGGGGTGGGGGGAGGGGGGGGANGGGGGGGGATGAATTTTCGTGAGTGCAAAATCAGATAAAGGATGAGGCTTTTAAGCTGTTCTTTTAAATACCATCTAGACTCACTCTATGCATTAACTTTTTCTGGAAAAATAAGTTGAAGGAGGGTTGGGGGGGGGGGAGAGTTAATTTGGGGAAATCGACAATATTTAGGTTCTCGTAAAAAAAATGGGGTATATACTAATTATATCGCTGACCTGATAGCGAGAAGTGATACGTTCCAGCAGACTTCGAAGGTCGTTAGCTTCTAATATAAGAAAGAAAAGAAATTAAGAACTTTATAGGGCTTACTATTTCGCACTATTCGAAAGCAAATTAGTTGTGGGATAGGTCATTGAAGGAATCCTAAGAATGACCTTCTAATAAACCATAGGATTTCGCTAAAAGTTATTTCGAATGGCAAGCGTTATGATAGGTATCATTAGCCCTATAGTTGACTTCGGGCTTCACAGAAAGGAAGAGGAACACCAAAGTGAAAAAAAGTCGAGAGGGGGACAGAATAATGATTCACAGACGTAAATGAGACAAACAGACAAAGGTAGAAAAAAGGTAAGGTGAGTACTGTGAAATTAGTCAAATATGAAATGCAGTGGGGTCTTGGTAGTTTGAAGTCAGAAGTCAACTGCCTGTTAATAGACTTTTTTGCCGTATGAGTATACGTTGCCCAGGGTGCACCACGAGGAGGTAAGTCTATCGCACACCCCAATTCCATGCAAAACTTTTCAGGCGACATCGGCCTGATTTGAGCACTCAAAGTTAAAGGTAATTTTACATCTGAGTACTTGTGTCAATCAGATGCAACCAACGCAGTTCAATTCTCCCGAAAGCCAATGGCTTTCACAAGTTCCCCTTATGACGTGTGGCTGGTCTGCTTGTTTTAAACAAGACACCTTTTCTCTTTCAACTTCACTATATGTATTTTGAATCCAACTCTACTAGAATAGTTATCACTTATTAACCATTAATTTCTTGAGGTGTTAATTTCAGGATAACAGAGTTTGAGCCTTAGGCATCTAGTTAAGACATTTTGGCCGCTTTTGGACCAGGACTAACCGGACTAGTGGCTTCTCTATCTTTGAATACATATTTTCATACAGATAACACTTAAAAACTTAATAACAGCTGACTTAGAGGGTAATGTTTAATTTATGTCTGAGAAAATCACCTACTGATGAAGATGACAATGCTGCATGTCTATTAAACACGAGTAGAGACCTTTCACAATGCGCGAATGTGCATACACTTTTGTCTAATTCCTAAAAGTATTTGATAGTTTGGTTAATACCCCGTATAGAAAAAGAAAGCTCCATTCAACACCTTTCACGAGGTGTGTGAAATGATTTCGAGGTTCGCATGGTTGAAAATCGGAATAGAAAGTTCAAATACTGGATACACGACAGTGGATATCAAAACATTAACATCAAGCCCATCCACACTTAGTTAAATAATACGTCATTTATTTAACAAAAAATGACTAGTTATGTTTAGATCAGAAGTACGAGCGCATAACAGAAATGGTACCGAAAAAAGGTAGATCAACGCCGTGGAATGAAAAATGTACCAATTAAGGTAGTCCCTCTAGATTCCCAATCAGAAAGATGCATACCACTAGCAGTTTTCAGGGAACTAGTCTAAATCTTCTTCGGTACAGAGAGTGGGTTAGCCTTCAATCCCTAATTACGTGGAAAGATTCCCATTCCAGAATAGTCCCTGGCAAAGTAGTAGTGCAGTGGAGAAGGTTTACTTCAGAGTGCAAGTCAAGTGTGGCAACCAATTACGAAAAAAGGGATTATAGCAGCGGTAACCGCCATTTAGGGTGTCAAAAGGGTCTGCTCAGATAAAAATAACATTCAGTATAAAATTTATAAGATAGATCTAAAGAATGAAAGCTGGCAGATTTTGATTTTGATAAGGCTTTATAAGACACGAATTGTAATTAATGCATCACTACTTAAGGCCATTATGATTGGAGGGGTGTTTGAGGGCGTGAATGTCAATTGAAGCCTAGTTTTAAAGGCAGTTTGTAGCGGAAAATAACACTATAAAGCCAATTTAACGTTTAATTCAATTTCCCCATTTGGGTATATAAGAAGCCGATTCTAATCCGGTGCACATCTGGAAATGCACATGTTTTAGAAAAATCTGTCGGAAGCACAAATCACAACATTGTGGTTAAAAAGTTTGGATCTACAGCTAGCACATAAATCAAATCAACTCAGATATGATAGTAAATCGATAAAACAAAATTCGTAGCTGCACTTTGGGTATTACAATTCTTGTAAATCAGCCTTACGAACACGCGGGTGAACATCACTACTGACAAGCTGAAAGTTATTTGGAGTGCGAACTATTGTCAAACCGGCAAAAAATCAACAACGTGAAGACAGCTTATGTGCTTGCGTAAATAACCTTGGATTAGTTAACAAAGTGTAGATAAGTGACCAGTAATGCCTATCTTACGAATATCTTTTCATTTATTACTACTACCAGTAGCCATGAATAGCCATTCCCTAACAAAAGGTGCACCGGTCTGACTCTAACTACATTAATAAAAGCGGGGTGTGCGATAGACTTACCTCCACGTGGTGCACCCTGGGCAACATATACTCATACGGTAAAGCAATCTATAAACTGGCATTTGACTTCTGACTTCTAACTACCCTCACCCCATTGTATGTCATATTCGACCACTTTCACAGTACTCACCTCACCTTTTTTTCTTCCTTTGTGTTTGTCTCTTACAACTTTGAAACACTTCTGTTCCCCCCCCCTTCTCGACTTTTTTCAATTTGATGTTCATTCCCCTCTGTGAAGACTGAAGTCAACTTAAAAGCTAATGATAACCATCAAGACGCCTGTCATTTGATATAAATAAATATAAATAACATTAATAAAAGCTTCCCATTCTTACTGTCAAAATAAACGTAAATGCAATAGGAGGAAGGTAGCCTGAAACAATTCTGATAAGAAATCCGCATTCAGCGATCCATTCGTGCTGGCGATTACTAGCCATCACTATTGGTGATACATGTAATTGAATGTGGGGGTGCGCGATAGACTTACCGCCACGTGGTACACCCTGGGCAACGTATACTCATACGGCAAAGCAAGTCTATTATTCGGCAGTTGACTTCTCACTTCAAACTATCATCAACCCGCTGCGTATCAAATTTAACCACTTCAACAGTACACATCTTACCTTCTCTCTGCATTTGTGCCCATCTGTCTTTTTACATTCGTGAATCACTCTTATTTCCCTCGCCTCAAATTTTTCTCACCATAATGTTCCCCCTTCCCCCCCCCCGCCCCCTCTCCTTGTGAATTCCGAAGTCAGCTAAAGGGCTAATGATAACTATCATAACGTCTGCCATATGAAATAAATAAATAAATAATTGAATGTGCACCAATGAGCGCTAATTCTGTGGTCACTGACTTGTTAACCACTGGGCTACCGGTAAGCATCGGCACTAGGTAATACGTTCCATATTAATTCCTAATAACTCATAGTGCATAGTAGAAGTAATAATAACTTCTGCAACTAAAGCGAACACTTCATTTTTAACGTTAGGATAGTACAACAATTGGGACAATTAGAATGCCAAGCAGGGAAGACAAAATCCATGGGTGGAAGATGTAAAATCTTCGCAATTAGCAATAAAGAAAATAACGGGATCTAAGCCCCTCCCCCCCCCNAAAGAAAATAACGGGACCTAAGCCCCCCCCCCCCCCCCTCCCCCCCACCCTAGCTGCGACCTAAATGAATACACATACGAGTAGGCGGCTTCTTTAAGTTTTGGTATTCTTATCAAATTTTACTTATGCAAGGGTTTTGACTAATTCTTTAAACCTTTGGACCAAACCAACAAACTTAGGACAATCATATTCAAATAAGACTGTAGTATTACCAACGCTGAACCCCACATACAAGAGTGCAAGCATAAGCCAACGTAGGTTAGCAAAAATTATCACACGTTTGTACCACCGTAGATCGAAACTACCTTATTCAATAAGAATTGAATTGGAATAACTGCATTCAATTACTATTCCAGAGACCTCGAATTACCAGTCCCAAAGCACCTAGAGTTAGAAGTTGGAAAATGAAATGTTGGAAAAGTTTAATCTTTAAACGATAATGGCAGGGTGTGCTTCAGTATTCATAAATAGCCCATAAAAGGTGCATCAGGCAGGACTTACTCTTTATCTCAACTTTAAAACAGTATACAAAGCTCTGCTAGAAAGACTGTTGCGTTGAAGGCAACTTATGACTCAATAGATCTGACCACAAAGAACCCAAGACAGGTGACACAATCCACACTCATATTCAGATCAACGCACACAGTCCTGTAGGAATACACTGTAAGCCAATAGTGGCTGCTCTTTGCAAAATCTGGACGTAAAATGACTTTTCATACGATGCCAAATTGATTTTCAACATTTATAGAGTAAACAATAGCGCAGGTAGTTATACAGAGATAACCGAACTTCTAATACATTCCTCAGAAGTCCGACATCTAGCCCAATTTTATGACACATGTGTAAAAATAAGTTTGATATCTATCTATCATTTGATTTACGGATTCAAGTTGTTGAATAGTTAGTTATTTAAAAGATTGTTCTCCTGAAGTTCAAATTGCGGGTTTCCTCGCTGATTAATGAACGAATTCTTTTCCCCTATCTTCAGTGGTTATGGCCCCAGTATAATGGCCAGAAGATAGACGAGTTTAGATAGTCAAACTACCTTGCAAACTTAATTATGAAGCTCTAAATGTCCATAAAATTAACCAATTCAATAATTTAGGCATCGAAATCCCAAAATTTCACATGTTTGGGAAATAGCGCGAGGAGTTGCAAGCAGTAATAAAAAATCAACAAACTAAAAATAGATCAACGAATTCAAAACAAGCGGAACTCTTGATGCACCGATTTAGGTCCACTTCTAGTAATTAGAAAGGGCACGTAATAATTCATGAGAGAGACTAGAGCATTTCGTTTACTTGATCGTGTTTATGTACATGAAAACGTACGACACAGCAGAGACAATGCAGCAAGCTGACTTAATTAAGACAAGGTTGGCAAAGAGGGTGTGTGCAAAATTGTCTAGCAATGAATGCGTGAAGCACGTCCAGGCACCTATTTTCCGATTTTTTCTGTCAACGGGATTAGAAGAATAGAAAACAGCGCACAAACTAGGTTCCTGCAGGTTAATTGAAAGTCTATTGTTGATTTAATACAGAGTACACAAGTTGAAGTATGATTATTAAGAGTTTTGCGTTTGGCTATTAACAGCTCAGCGGTTTTAAAGATTGGAGAATATTGTTTTTGTCTGATACTAAACGAAGAAGAACCGCCACATTAAACACATAATTACGCAAATACAAGCAAATGCTGGCAAAAGTTCATTTGACAAGACGGGAGACTAATGACTTGAGGACTGCATTCCTTAAATCGTACCAGACATTAAGATCTTAACGACAATTCTGCCCAAAATTACAGATGCGGAAAATGAGAAATTCTTGACTTCTGTTTTTTTAGATTATGTCGAGGTTATTTTCTCTCCAAACAGATAAAAGTGAAAAGAAAAGCGATATGCTCCCTTGGAAATTTTCGTGTGAAAAAATCCTTTGTTTAGTATTACCAATCAACATTTTGTGAATAGTTGAATAAGAATTAGCTATTTGGTAATTTATTTGACGATTTACAGTTACAAAAGGAATAATTCATATCACTGGATATGTGCCAATATAGTTAGTAAACTCACGCCCAAATCACAAGATTTAATAAAATCACAATCCCCTATAACGCCAAATAATTAAGTTGATGTAACGGTAAACATAGTTAAAGCAAAATAATTCGCTTTGAGGAAAAAAAGTGCGACATTGGGAGAATCTAAATAATACTTTCATGAGTGCACAAGATAAAATAATATTTTTGCATAGCAATCGGTGATAGGCATTAATTCTTACTTACAGAGATATTAGCAAATGCAGTAAAATTAGAACCAATCTGCGATACGTACCTGTAGATGGCTGGAATGGACTTCTCAAAAATATTGCAATTTCATGCCAAAATACAACCATTCTTTCACGAGCGGATAAAAGCGCTTGACAGAGATGTCTATGCGTGGCAACGGCATAGTGGCGTTTATTTAAGTTCTAAAAGGAATAAGATAAACGATAAAAATATCTTTCATTAACCAAGACATTGAAAAGAACATTTAAGGAAGAAAGCTTATAATCACCAGATTTTGGCAATTAAGTGCGCAGCTTTAAAACTTCCAAACTCACATTTGTTAGGGGTTTCTTAATATAAATACCCCGATGCTAAATAACGATAAATCGCACCAACATCAACTTATATTAATCGAAAATGTATCGGACTAAAGTAAAATTAAGAACTTACAACAGTAGGACCACCCCCAATTACGTCTCTCCAATTCTGTTTGGCATAATTTTCGTAAGCTGCCAGGGAGTGAAGGTTATTTGAAAGTGATGAAGATCTATATAAACCGGGCAGTATATTCGTGAGATAGCCTTGAATAACGAATTCGACGGCGCAGAGATGAGAAAAATCAAAAATAGCATTGAATTGATGGCAAAGACCGCGAGTTGGAGACATTTGAATTCGTTTCAGACGAGTCGATAATAGTTGGAGTTTATCATTGCTAATATCACTTTCACTTTCTTCCGCAAACCAGAGCTCTGCGCATAAAAGTAACTCGGTTTGTCTGAAAATATCCTCTAGCTGGCTGATGTCAATGTTAACTTGGATCTGTTGCTCGAATGCGTCGTTAAGACTAGCAGATTCTTTGTGATACATTATAAGTACTGTGGTACTACATCCTTTGGGTTGTAGTGGTTGGTTATTGTTATTCGGTCCATAATAAACACTAGAAGTTGTTTTTTCGCCGAAGATTACAGGGGGATAAATAGCGATAGCCGACTGGCCGAAGGTATTTACAGGAGCCGTGGAGCTTCCAGCCTTCAGATAGTACCGAATTTGATAATAACTAAATTTATTAAATAGTAAAGTGTTCTGCATACCCTCTTTGGAATAAATCTATGTTATGAAATGAGCCAATTTCAATAAAAAATGATATATCGGCTCGTACGCAGGGCATTATAAAGTATTGGGTGAGTAGGCCAACTGGCTTGCCAAACAAATATCTGAAAACTAATTGGTTGTTGACGATTTTCAAATCCGTGCCAAAATGCTAACATTTGACTTTTAGATCAGTAAATGCATCATTTTGTCCCCTTTAAATAATTGAAATTTTCCACTTATCTCATGTCTTTAATATTTATGCCTTCTTTAGCACTAATTTTATTTAAAGTTATTTAAAGATAGAATAATCGTAAAAGGGCGAAACGGAAGCATTATTAGCTTGCATTCAAAGCAAAAAATCAGTTTCCGAAGTTGGCTCATATTATGACTGTTCTAATTAGCTTAAGCACAGTTTAATCCTCTATTTATTTTTCCAAAATAAAACCTTTGTCCATCTGGTTTTTGGGGGGGGGGTAAAATGGCTCTAAATTACACTTCCATTTACTATCTTTTAAACAATCAATTTTTGCACATGTCATTGCCATATATTTTGTATAACATATGTGAGTAATTTCTTTAGCATATTATTAACTAAAATATATTTGAATATTCAGGAATGCACTTCTCTATAAGATGAGAATTTGATTCGTAATTATTTAAATGTTAATCATTAGTGCGTGTTTCTTGTTCATTCGTGTAAGGCCACTGATCATTTTGTGCTCATACACCTATTTCTTTGTTCCCCACTCGCTCTTTGGGCACACGGATTCTTATCTAATTATTTTGTGAATCTTCGAACTTCACTAACTAAACACGCTTATTTTTATTTGCCTAATCTCAAGTAAAATCACATAATGTTTAAATATTTTTCAAAATTTTTTAATCCGTTACGGCTGGACGCTTAATTTTATCATTTTATTGTCAAGTACAAACTATCTTATAATTAGTTTATTAGAGGTTAGTCTTGGCCGACTGTTATTAATATTTCGAGTGGGCTTCTTAGGCACCCCGTCAATTACTGGCAAACAACTCAGCAATCCTTTAGCTTCTAAATATCATTATTAAGTCCATTTACAAGCTGCCGTCGTGGGTGTATTAGTAATTTGCACATCTACCACCTCAATCGGGATTGTAATTAGGATGACACCCCCACAGCCATCTCCCAGTAAAACCCTATTGATATGTGGGCGTTTGTCAATATATTGCTGAAGAACAGCTTGTGTCGCCACTAATAATAAAGGTTAAGTGCTTACTCTCTCTCTCTGTCCTGACACAGTGGAGAAGAAACTTGGTTCACTTCCATTGTGTCTTTATTGGTAAAGTACATCCATTAACTTGCTACTAAATGAAAGGTGGTCTACCAGAAATCCCGAGATCTAAATACGTATGTTAGGAATTATGCGTAGCTCTTTAACGCTCGAATCATTTTTCGAAAAAATGCACCCAACCGCAATCACGCGTGTCTCGCAGCAGACTGATGCCGCCGACGTGATGAGTTTGGGTGGTGTATCAGGCGAAGGCTACATGGACACGTATTGAATATGTTTCAAACGGAAATAGAACCTTCTGTTATGAGTCTAGTACCAATAAGGCCTGTTTTGGAAGAGGACCTTACGGGTTTAAGCGCTTTAATGGGTTAAGTGGATTCTTGTAGGCAACCATTCATTGTATTGCCTCCTTCATATTCTTTCACATATCTAGATCAGGATTGGCGTTTTGTCACTGGGACCTGTTAAAATAGTAGACAGATTACCTAAAAATCATTTCCTTCTCTACTACACCCCCCCCCCCCCCCTCCACTTGATTTAATAACTGCCCCTCAACTGTTTTCATTTCCTACTAGATCCGATTCAATACCACAATTCATAAGTTAGCAGAAGCTCTTTATTCCTCATGCTAGTCAATTTAGATCTAATTTAAATTTAAATTTCTCCATGACAATCCAATTTCGAAAAAGAAAGAATTAAAATTAAGCAGTTAGCTTTGATTAGCAAAGTGATCAATTTATATGCAAGTTTCAAGACAGTTGAACAACTGTTTCCTCTTCCTCCTCCTCATCTTCTACCTTCACAATAAAAGGCGCTTTTCTACTTTTCGCCCTCGAAGGTAGGATCTTCGCTGTAACATCTGATTCAATTGACTGGATTCCTCCTTTCAAATCCTCAAAATCGTTCCCTCCTGCTCCCAACTTCTCCTTCTCTGCCATAAGACTCAAGACTTCAATAACTCCATAGGGATTTCTAACACCTTCAGATTTGGATTCTACTACTCCATCAGATTCACTGTCCACTTCCATATCTGATGTTTCTTCATTGTCATCATCATAGTCTCCGGCTACTTCGCCCTCTTCTACGTGCCTCAGCCCATCGGGAGCATTTTCACCTCCAGGGAGGAAGGAAGTTGAACTGAGAACAAGGGGGACATCTAGTAGCTCCTGATTGGCCTTATCAAGGTCACTCGATCGAGCAGCTGCTGCAGCTATCATTGCTGCGCGCTGGCGTTCCAAACCCTCAAGAACACGATGAACCAAGGCGACTAGAGACTTAGCTCGGCTATTCGCCATTGTAATGCATCTATAAGGAAAACAAATGACAAATAGGAAAGGAGCGCCGACTTATTATTTCATTAAACGAAATCTATCTCGCTTTAGCTTAAAATAAGTTGGTATAAACCACTTCCAACACACAGAAAGAATAGATAAAAACACTTGCCTCGGAAGAATTTTTTGACTGAATTGAGAAGAAAACTACAATTTATTGAATACAAAGGTCTTCACCAAGACCACCCACTTTGATTCAAACGGTCGTGTTTAAATGTAGAAAGTTGTTGAAGGTGATCTTAGGCCTCTCTTAGCATAAGACGTATCATTGTTTCCTATGGGTTAACACTGACACCCTTATTTCTAAAAAAATTTTATTGATTTTTTGTTCATCAAATGCCCAGGCAGTAGGGAACTGCTTGCACTGTTCTCAACAGAATCTTCCATTTCCTGCCTATGGAACATTCTCATTTACTAAAACCAAATTCTTTCGTTTTCTATCCACAAAGGGCTTGGAAGCCTTAAAAAGAAGCATTCATTTTGAAAAATTACATTTCATGCACTTGAGCTCGCATACTGATTTTGAAGAAACAAGAAACTGTCATCCAATGTATAACCCTGGTGATTGCAGCGTGTTAACCGGTCAAAGTGGTACTGTGATCTGACAATTCACTGTGATGAATAGTTTTCTGCGGTAGTGGTCGAGTATACCACGATGTACTTAATGGCAGGTGGATATGGTCAGGAATAGTAGTCAAACCATGAAGGAGAAAAGTAATGAACGCATTGAGATTCAGAAGAGTCCAACGAGAAGACAAGAATTCACTTGAGGAAAGGAGGTCCACCATCTTCAAATCGCATGTCTCAAAAGGAATTTGCCAAGTAGCCTGACACTGATGATTCAGAAACCACCGTTCCGAATATGTTACAGGAACTAACTCAACAAGAGTCCAAGAAAAAGAACAGACTGATATAACCACAAACAGAAGTAAAACAGGTGATTGGAGAATACATTATTCCATTCTGAATTGAAAAAATAAGCCTTCATCTCGCACTCCTTCAGTTGTCTCTCAAATAAATTAAATGGCAGATTCTTACCTGGAAAGACTTTCTGGGCGGATAGATGTGGTAAGGCAAGATGTGTGGACGCAACAGAGTTCCCCATGAGCGGTGAGACCGACCATAACTCGACCCCCCGTCATAATCGCCTCTTCACGGTGGGTGGGATCCTGGAAAATGACCTTGGTGTCTGCCGTTAGTCCCAAGGTCACAAGAACTGGAATTCGTCGCAGATTCAGGCGAACAGGTGGACGGTGTTTCATGGCGGTGTCAACGACTACCTATCACAGTAAAAATATCAATAATACCTCTACATTTTAAATATATTTAAAACCACCAACTATATAAATTCAAATGAACAGCGAAACTAAAATCAAAAAGTGGCCCAAATGGAAGGCAAGGATTAAATACATCAAAGAGAGGTGGGATTTCTAGAAATCAGGAAGGTTAATTATCCCTCATATCCCGAATGCAAAAAACTATATAAAAAGGTGGTATTTCATATTCTGTTTCCTCGTCTTGACAACAAAACTTGTCAATATTTCAATCAATCAACACTTAAAATACCGTGAGTTAGAATACAAAACTCTCGTTGCTGGATTATTCAACACTATAAACCAAGCTGCAAGACAATAAATCTCTCATTTTATAGACAACTGAAAAACATTCAACAAGGACAGCTCATCTTCAAAGTGGCCAAGTACCCTATTGAATTGAAAACTATCGACTAAGCTAAATGATAAGCTTTAGAAAGTGCTTTGAATATAAGATGGAAGACTTTGCATTCATTTAATAAAAAACGTTTACCCTTAGCTATAATACAGAAGCCATTACTTATAAGGAATACAAACACAAGATTCGGAGATTCTAGTAAATTTTTCTCCAAACTTCCATTAAGTCAAATTTGTTATTTAAAACATTTGTTCCTGAATTTAAAACCTCTTAAAGTAGATCAACGATTTTGACATATGCGAAACATATGCTTTACATAAGAAACGGAAATGTGTGTAAAAGTACCGATAAAAATACTAAAATCGCAAAAGCTCGTAAGCTAACCTTTCCGATGTCATTAACAAAGACGTCCGGTCGTCGAAATGAGGCGAGGGCAGCGATAGCCGCTAGAGCGCCGCAATCACCAAGGTTACCATCATAAGATAAGGCTTTCAGGTCCACACGAATAGCAAATACTCGTTCCCATGCAACAATGCAAAGAGCATCAACATCAATGCAATCACGGAAACATGTTTGCAGAACAGAGGAAAGACGCCTGCCCTCATCATCCCTAGAGCGACCCTTTCGTTTGCCCTCCAAGGAAGAAACTACAGTGGCATCAAAGTTGACGTACACAACACCCTGAGCCGGTCTGTAATGTTTTGGCTCGACAACTTCTGCAGATGCTTTGGCAAGAACAGATGTTGAACCAATACTAACTATACAACAACCTCCACATGGATGGCCACTTGGAAAGCGAAAATTAATTTCACGGTACTCTTTTAAGGTTCTACCATCAATTCGAACGCCAGATAAAAGCATTTGAGTGAGTGTTGTACATTCTGCTTCTGATAATAACATTTCGAATTCGGGCGCATGAATTGAAGAAGCCTAACAGTTTTAATTAGTTGGTTAAATATTAAGTTAATTAAAATATTTGTTGCATAGACGTAGAAAGTATTAATTTAACCGTTAATAATATTAAAAATATATATCATGAATCAATATTCAGTTTTACTATCAAAAGAGAATGTTCTATAATATTTAATGTCACAAAACCAAATTTTTATTTTTAAGTTAACTTAACTTAATTTTTTCTTACATAATAAATTAATAGTACTGGAACGTTTGATTTTTTGTTCCATCGTATCGAGGTCAATGATTATAGCAAAAGGTGATCTTTTAAGTCTACTGGGTATACCGATAACTCCTTTTTTCTTTAAGCGGTATAATTCGATTCTATTTGCTTTATAATAGACGTATTTTTAATGCTTGTATTTTAAAATGCCAGGGCTGTGTCATTTTATCCATTTTAGGTGCACACTAGCCAATAAATTAATTTCGCATTTTAATGTACGTTGTCGAAATTGGCCTTGAGGAAACTTCTTCTGAAGAAAAGGAAAATGAGTTCTGCCATCAGCAGTTACTTCTTTTCTTATACACCATTTATTCCAATTTTTTACCAGCGAAAAATATGATCGAAACTTTTATTGGACCTCGTGATGAAAAGAATATTCTTCAGTTAGCCCTATCGCAATCAAAATTCGAAGCCGATGTATAGTTAATGGAATTCTTTTTAATTTGTATTTAGCCATCTTCTGACATTCTGAATTTAATATGGATTGAAGCGAGCAAACAGCGCTTATTCGGAATTCAAGAAAATGATAACTGCCTGGTCGAGGCTATAGAACAGATTCTAAAGTCGAATAACATCATCGATAGAGTTTATCTAGTGAAAAGAATCAAAGACGAGTATTTTGAAAATGCTGAATTAATTAATGCTCTACATTCTGCTGAATATATTGTCGTTTCTAATCAGCTAACCTGGTTTGAGGTAAGCATAATTTACACTTCTTGTTACTCCTACGTCTAGCATCTCGTCGTTTCACTTCTAATTGAAATAAAAGTGCCAAATATCCGTTTCACTAAAACGCCGGATTTTAAACCCTTTTTATCCCTTCAGCAATGTTCTACCGTTCATGAGCTCTTCGTTGAGGTATGACTATTTTTAAAGCGTCATTTCCTTTTTTAGCCGGAACCAATTTCGCGTTCCTTACTAGCTTATTTGGCTGTTGCAGTAAACGTAAAAAATACTTTCGATCTAGCTCTTATTATTAACAAACCCTTTCGTGGTTTCAACAGATCTTTCTTCTCTACACTTCGTCGAATCTCTAGCAACGCATCAATGCTACCTGGGCAGGTAATTACAAATTTTTTTATCAGTAGTTGCTTTTCAAGGGATCTGATTTATCATTATTAAATTAATCGACTAGTATGAGGTCGAATGTTTAGGGGTTATGTCTTCCGGTCAGTTACTATTTGCTCTCATTGAGACTTTAAAATCTTAGAGTGATCTTTCTCTTGTATTTACCATGAAAATTTTGAGTATCGAATCTGTCTAAACTTATCATGCTTTATGTATTTTATTCTAGTTGGTTCTTTCCTACCCAGCCTGTATGACTGCATCAGCAGCTACTTCAACTCTGCGAATCGATGACGCAAAACTCTTGAAAACTTCCACCTCCGGTTTAGAGCACCTTGCAAATACAATTCGAACCTGTCAAGATGCCCTTTCTGGTTTCCTTGACGATGATGCTTCTCTTGCTAGCAGTAGTCAGTTCGGAAGTATGTCTACAGAAGCGGCTGCAGATGCTGTGCGAGCTTGTTTCACTGTTACCCTGAGAGCTTTCACTCGACCCCCTAGACTTAATAAGGATCCTGAAAAAACCTGGTCAATGAACGATATTAAAGCCGCTAAAAAGTCGTTGAACGAACGATTGGAACAACTGTTATCTTCTCCTTTAGTGAAAGGATGTGAAAATTTGATTTCCTCTACCCCTAATCGGGTGAGCAATTTTCTTGCCAAATTGGATTCCTATTTTGCTAAAAATCAATATTCCAATTATAAAATTCACTTTCGATGCACTTCCAAAAATTCGCTAATCGGTTTTCCGATATTTTAACATAAGGCAATCTTGTTGAATAATGTCGTAAAATTAGCATGCACTCTCTCTAACACAGCATATTATCTGGCTGGCTCTTTTGTCAGCTCAATTCTAATTGATTTGCATGTGAGTCATTGCTCAATTATTAGTCTAAATTTATGAGTTGGTGCTTAGGCTAGAGCCATATTGACTGTTCGTAACACATGGCCATTGCTCGATATTCTGTTGGAACACTCACTTTAAAGAGTTTTTTTTTAAATCCTAATCTTTATTCTGACTTATCCATAGCTCAGATAATCCATTCCCGATTTTGGCCTATTCACACTGCACTTTTACTTCCAAGGCTTTAGTCACCACTATAGTTGGGTACATTCCTTTGACTCATGCATCTTGTAACTAAACCTGTTCGCGTGCTCTGTGTGCACACACGTGTGAATAAAAGATGGTGGCAGGGGAGGGCGGGGTGGTAGCACCCTATGGCCATATGGTCTGGCAAACAGGATTTGTGACGCTTGTTGGAAAGTTTAAAAACGGAGCTACTGCTGAATACAGTTGGTGTTTACGTCAATAGTTGTAAAATTGTCCAATTTCTAAGTTAATCTAGTTATTCCCATCTGTAGCATGAGGTTGGTTAGTAACAGTTTTGGTAGGTGACGCTAGCTCAAAAGTTTATTGGCTGTCCAAAATATATTTTTTAATGAAAATGTCATATCACCCAATATTTCATGGTATAAATGATAAAAAAGACAAATGTATCCATTGTCCTCTGCTAACTTTCTCTCCCCCCCCCCTCTTTTTGAAAAGAATATCATGCGAAAGAGCTAGAAAAGTATGCTCATAGAAAATGCCAATCTTGCATGGGGAATATTATCAGATTTACAACTTAACCACCGGAAGAGGTGGTAGAATGTGAGGTTCGCGTAAGAGGAACTTTAAAATGTCTACACTCCACTTCAAACAAGTCCTGTATATACTTTGTTATATATGCTTGAGAGTTTATATGGTGATTCATTAAAAATATTTGGTATTTCATAAGTTATAGCTCAGCTTTGAACAATTGATCTTAAAGAGCATAAAGGTGTATTTTAAGAATGCTGGTGCGTTAAATATCTCCTTTGAAAAGTAGCTTGTTGTCGGACTAGGCATCCTCATAGCAAATTTCTTATTAAGTAAGACGTTTCCTATGTTCTTTTCGAAGTTCAACTTTCCAGTATTTCAATTATCAATTTATAAAAAAAAATCTCTTTGTTTTAGCTTTTGAGATCAGTCAATTTCAGTTTCTCTATATATATAATTACTTAATCAACATTTAATCGTAATGTTGCTAATTTTTAGTGATTAATTAAAGAAATGAAGCAATCCGTTTACTTTTCGCCACTATGCTGAGAGGCACAACAAACTGCAGTGACTCTAGACGCAGGAGCGGTTAACCGTTGCCTTGCAGAATGTCGGTCCCAACTCTCTCAACACTAACATATTTTCAGAAGGTCTATAGGAAATAGATTACATGTTGAAGGAAAGAGATGGATAATGTCAATAAATTCCCAAAAAAAAATCAGTGTTATACTAAATCGTCTTCTCCAATGTTAAACAAAGAAAGAAACTCGAACTTAATTACTGAATTCTTTCTTTTAAATCTAAGTTAAGGCATTTAAATTGACCTAATTCATTCCTTCTGCGTAAAAAGGTTTTACTGAGGTGTTATTTCATAAAATTAATAAATATAAAATCTCAGGCAGTCAAGGAAGGCCACTGCTTAAGATTAATATCCCCCCTCCTTTCAGCCTGTTTACGCCGGAGGTTCACTTCAAGGCCGTCCTGCCTACCGTCTGGCTCGTCTATTCCTTGTGTACGAGGCGACACGTCAAGTTGCTCCACCCCGTAGACCTGATACGTCCACTATGACACCTCAATGCACTCCAATTGGTCACCGAACATTTAATGCCTTCTTTGAATCGCCGGCTCCTCAAGACCGTACACCACAAGTCACCAAAGCGACGCCGACTAATGCTTCGAAGACTCCATCGAAGGCCGAAAAGACGCCTGAACAGGCAGTGAGTTCTAGCACCTTCATGCTATATTCTCCTTGCTCCTAGTTGACCAGTGTTCTGTATTATTTATTGTAAGTAACAATGACAGTGCAAAGACGTTTACATGAAGTTATTGCATTTGAATATGAGTAAAAAGAAATATCTCATTAAAGAATGATTCTTGGAAGGGTTCGTGCCCTAAACATTCAAAGGTGATGATTTACTCGAATAATTTGGATCTCACTGTTCAATTTCTTCCCACTTGAAGCTATGGGCAGATTGGAATGATTGTAGTGAGCATAGTTTACTCAGGGTGAATTTTGTAATAAGGTATTATTTAAAGTAACTTATTTGTTCAGAAGAGATCTGCAAAAGACAGTCACTTTTACTTCGGTTTAATGGACAAACCAGAGAGTCGATGTCATTATCTCCTGAGTGTATTCGAATCGAGTCGGATTAAAGGCTATTCTTTTGGTAATATTTTGGTTATCCTCATATTAAGAATATTTTTTTTATTTTTTAATCAAATGGCATGCGTCTTGATGGTTTTCATTAGCCCTTTAGTTGACTTCAGATTTCACAGAGGGGAAGGAACATCAAATTGAAAAAAAGTTGAGAGGGGGGACAGAAGAGTGTTTCAAAGATGTAAGAGACAAACACAAAGGTAGAAAAAAGGTGAGGAGAGTGCTGTGGAAGTGGTGGAATATGGCATAGAGTGAGGTGATGGTAGATTGAAGTGAGAAGTCAACTGCCAGTTAATGGACTTTTTTGCCGTATGAGTATACGTTGCCCAGGGTGCACCAC